CTCTCGCTCGTCCGCCTCGATCGACACTCGTCCCCCCTTCCCATCCGAAATGCAAACCGTCGTCGTCGTCGTCGAAACAATAACGGCCCGTCACCGACCAAAGTGACGCGAGAGCGAGAGCGAAAGAGAGAGAGAGAGAGAGAGACCGAGCACGAGAAGAGTTGGAAACGCGGAGAGACAAATAGAGCGGACGAGGGATAAAAGGGACGAGCCGAGGAGAACGAGAGAGGTCGTATTATTAAGCAAGTAAATTAATAGAGGCTGTGGAATGGAGAGGAGGGTTGGATATATTCCACGATAAACAATGCCTACGGTTCGTTCGGAGTTTTGCACACCGAGCCGTAGTACACGTTCGAACTCGTGGATCCTCTCGAGGGGCGGGGGAGGGGGAAGAGGCGGCGAGGGACAGAGAGAGAGAGAGACAGAGAGAGTACAGCCGAGAGAATCAAAACTACGTTGCTTGGTGCGTGAACGAGCGAGCGAGCGAGGAGGAGAAGTGGAGAGGAGAGCCGTGTTTGTGTGTGGACACGAGGGTTGCTAAGCAAAGTAAGTAAAGCACCTGTGGGAGCTTGGCTCGCTTTCGAGGGTGGAAGGAGGTCGCCACGTTAGAGGTGGAAGAAGGCGGGAGAGGAGGGGGGCGGGTGAGCAGAGCAAGCGAGGAGAAAGAGAGAGAGAGAATGGAAGGAGGAGGAGGAGGAGGAAGAGGCGAAAGAGAGAACAGAGAGGCCTGGCGAACAGGCGAGCCAACCCCGGGAGGAAGCCAATCAATAAACTCACTCACTCGCTCTCCTACGAAGAGAGACCTACTACTGCTCTCCCTACGCTCGCAATGCGACTATATATACAGCCAACCTGGAAGCCTCCATTACGTACGCCCACTCGGCCTGCCTACAGCCATTTTGTAACCGTTCGCCGTGCACGGTTTCCTCTCGAATCTCCTCTCTGTGTCTCTTCACCCCCCTTGCGAGAAAGAGAGAAAGAGAGAGAGAGAGAGAGAGAAACGGTGGAGGAATCGGAGACGACGTTCCTGCACACACGTTCAAAGATGACGAGAACCGTGGTGGTTCGGCGAGATCAAAGGAATTGGGAACGGGTCTCGAAGAAGATCTAGCTCGATATTGAATTCTTCGTTGCGATTCTTATATCCTTGAAAATTTTCTTCTTCTTCTTCTTCTTCTTCTTCTAATTACGTAGGCCTTATCGAAATTCTCTCTCATGAAACGAAATACGAATGTACGAATATTTTATTCTTACAGAAGGAAGGAAATCTTCGAGCGAGACAAGAGTTTTTCTATGTATTCTTTGTGGACTAAAGTCGAGAGCCAGTGAAAACGCTCGCGTTCGAAGTTATAACGGATGAGTAGCGCATAACGAGGGTCGAGTGCGCGAGATAAAATGTGTTTTGAAATGGTGGAAAAAAAAAAAAAAAAAAAAAAAAAAAAGGAAAAGCGGAAAAGAAACGAGGATTTAGATTTACGAGGCAGGGAGGAGAATAATCGAGTGCCCCGTGTGGAGAACCAAGTGTTTCCAATTACGCCTAGCGTCGAAATCTATGTCAATGTCTCATTTTGTCAACGGCACGCGACACATGGTTTTCGAAAATAACCCTCCGCGTTCCCACGAAGGCACTGTTCAGACGATTCCAAGACCCTGCGCGCCATCTATTGAGCCACGTTATTGCATGCAGGTTGCTTCTTCTGTGTTTCCCCCTTTTTTTCGCGTAAAATATTATCACGAAGATAATGAAACTCTCCGATTGTGAATGTTGCGTAAAGTCTTCAATAATTTCTGAAGATATGCGATATGAATATTAAATATTTAAAAAAAAAATGTATGAACAGTAGAATCTTATTTTCAATGAGTGATATGTTTTTCCTTCTATAATCGATTCCAATGTAATTTTTAAATTTTAATTATTTCTATTATTTAACACATTAATAGTATAGAAAAAAAAATATAATAATGTGGTTGAGAAAGAGATTAAATAAACTATAATGACTACAAAAAGTATTTGATTAAATTCCAATGAAAACGAAAAATTAATGTGTAACCCGAATCGAATTAATTCTATGAATTAAATACAGTGCCAAATTTTCCAAAGAATAAACAAATTTCGAATTACAAAAGAAAGCTCTCTTTTTTTCTCTTCTTCCCTCTTTCCGCGTTTCGAATAAACGATCCGTCGGCCGAATCGAACAAAGCAACTTTCTCTCCTATAATTTTAATTCCATCCTCGATAAATAATCGTTCCACCGTTCCGACAGATTTTGATATATCGCCGTTGTATCGCGATACAACGGATCCGCGAGCGAAATAAATATCCGTCGTAAATTCGGCCGTCACTTTTTCGCCCGTGGCCGGCCATTATTAATCAAAACACGGATCCGTAACGAAAATATGGAATCCGTTGAAAATACACGCGTGGAAATCACTTAACTCGGCCGATATACAATATTTGCGGCGAATGGTGTCGTCCTCTCTCGAAGCGGCGACTCGCCTCTTTCCACTCGCCATCGATATTCCACAGTCTCCCTACAAGATGAAGTACAAGGGTCCTCATGTTGACAGCACCCTCGTAACTCTTATCCACGAGCGGCAAGAACGAGCATCCGGTTTGCTCGTCACCCTTCTTACGGATTAATTGTCGGCCACCTTCAGTGGACGTGCGTTGTTTTGTAAATATACTACTTCTTCAGGTTTTTCTCGAGGGGAATGAATAAGATTGAAATGGGGTAAAGAATGATTCATAGGATTGGTTTCGAGATGAAGTGAATTTGACAATTTGTTTCTCTTATAAAAGAAACATATCTTAAATCTTCTTTTCTTTTAAAAATCTTAAATTTTTTGTTCATATATCTCTCAATAAAATTTTCATCTTAATCATCAATGCCATGTAATTGCTGCGTATATGTAATGATAACTTCTATATCTAATCGAGTTATGATATTATACACATAGTTTAACCTAATGATTAGTTTTTATTATAGTTATATTAAAAATCAAGCAATCTAACGTTGATATGAAAAATAATAAAAAAAAACCTTTTTGCTTCAAATAGAGAAAATGTACTGAATTTTAAGAATAACATTAAATTATTTTGTACATATTAGTCGTACATGTTAATCTTTCTAAAAATTTAACTTAAAATTTATAATTCACGTCAAATAATTTTTATTAGATACAGAATCTAAATAAAAGTAAAAAGATCGTTTGAAATAAATGTCAACGGACCGCTTAAAGCTATGTATACCAGTTACATCGAGGGAAAGATATTACGGATTCGCGATAACGATAACCATTTCTGCCTGGGATATGTGTAACGAGTACGAGAGATCGTGACTCTTGTTTTAATGGCGGCTCTCGAAAGCTGCGAGAGAGAGGGAGGGGGGAGAAACGCGACTGGTGGTTTAATCTAATGGAGCCGAGAGACCATGAAACCTGGTGATAAACTTACCCGTAGGCGGCCAGGGTTGGATCGTAGGGGTAGTAACCCGTGGCGGCAGGTTGAAGGGCGGCCGTGCCCCATGCTGCACCCATATCCGCCGTCATCCCCATTCCCGTCGTGTCCTTCAATCCGTACGGATTTCCCTGCAATCGAATAGTATAATTAATTACTCTGCCTAAGGGTTGCAAGTGTAACATGTTCGTTTAAGGATTGGAAATTTAAAATATCTTTATACGTTAGATTAACTTTCTAATTGGTGAAACAGAGAGGAAAGAAATATCAAGAAAGATCGGAACATCATATTTTCTAATTTGTACGAATTATAAAAATATTTATTTTAAATGTTTTTAATTTTAATTTTAATTAAGAAAATTAAAGAATTTTAATAAAGAAATGTTTAAAAATTTGTGATATAATGAAATTCTAAAGGTTGTTATTAAACGAGAATTATTTATATAAAAGAAGGTGAAGACAAACGACACAATCCATCTTCCACCCTTTTATCTATCCGTATATTAAGGTCAATTGCGAGAGACGGTTAAGACCGCAATGTAACATCTAGCATTATTGTAAACATTGGATATATGACAGTGCTACATCGACTTTTAAAACGATGATCGATTAAGTACAAGCGACGATGGTTACCAAGAATGAATACATTGTCTCAGAGTACCTGCACTTTCCCTTGAGCTGAAATAAATACTACTACGGTATAAAACTTGACAACGTGTTCCATTTATCCGTACGATTACACGCGACGTACGAGGTATCTCGTATGCGTATGTTAACAAGAACGACACAAGCACGTGAATCGCGGCCGTGAAGAATGATACCGATGGTGTTATTTTTGCTTCGTGACTAATTTCGTCTCGAAATTTGAATGTATGTATCCCTCAAACGGTCTACACTCGCGTGACACGATTTATGCGAACGGCACATTCGAAATAAAATCGATCAATCCATCATCTTAATCGACGATTTCACAGCAAATTCGTTGCGACGAATCAGTCAATCCATCGACAATCGACAAGTGACTGACCATCCGTTAATCGAGATACACTTGCCAAAAGATCCCATAACGTATTTCGACAATATTTATTCGTTATAGACTTGGCAGTTATCCCCACCACCGAAAATAAATTCTCGTTGGATCCAATAAGAAGCCAGAAATTTCACATAAATTTCTTCAAATGTTTGAACTCTCTATCCCACTTCGTCTTTCGCTATTCTAAAATAATCTGTCACTCTCTACGATCGAGTCATGGTTCACGAAGAAAAAGTGAGGATCGAATTTCGCTTCTCTGCAGTTATGGATGGCTCGTGGCCAATCCCTAGCAGTAGGCTTATCGCTTCAACGCTTTTTTCGCTTCAGAATTTTATGTTTCTTTAGAAGAAAATAAAGAAATTGAGAAACGAAGAAACAAAATAAACTTTGTAAGTTAGAAATTCGTTTTCCTAGCATAAATGTTATTGAATTTTAACACTTCTTCGCTTAGTAATTCTTTCGAAATTAGAGAAGAACACAAAGAGATGCCGTTACAAAGCACGTCATAAAGAAGCCTCTCGCGTTGGAAACGGAGGTAGAGGTTCACAAAAGGATCTGGAAGAAAAAAAAAAAAAAAAAAAAGAATAGAAAGCAACGTTTCAGCGAGAAGAAGCACGAAAGGGACGGTGGCGGCGCGTTCGGTGGCTAATGGTAGCACAATGGGATATTATTAGAGCGAAGGTTTAAAGGCATTTGGCGCCAGGGAATTCCGCGTTACACAGAGATCGGTGTCGACTCATTCGACCAGCTTCCACTGACTCTTATTTCCTCTTCTCGATTCATAGCTACTTTTTTTTTTCTTTTTAATATGTAAAAAAAGAAACAGAAGAGAGGAAAGAAGGAAAAAATACGCAATATTTGTCCCCCTGTTGCTAGCCCTCGATACGTATCCTTTCTACGGAGGTGATTTTAATGGTAAACCGCGGGTGGTCCAGCGTCGACGCCTCGAACTATTGTTACCGAGCATGGAACGGTCACAAACCGATTATACGAACGACCGTACATTACGTAGCAATAAGTATACGTCGAATTTTCTAAATCCTATTAAGGCTCTCTCGTTTTGATATTTAGTTTTCAATAAAAAAATTCTAATTGTATGATAAAATCGTATAATTTTTTATTTTTGAATCGAATTAGAAAATACGGAAAATTTACAGCTTCAATACTTATAAATTAAAAATAGGAGATATTACTGAAAATTAACATTTTAAAAATTGATGAATATAAATGTTTGTTGCAATTCGATTAATAGAAATTATATATCTATTTGGAATTCTACAAATTTTTTATATTTAACCTAATTTCGATATTCATTTTCCAAATCAAATGTAGAGAGTCGTATTGAAAATTAATATTTTTAAAGATGGACGAACACGTAGGTATTTCTTACAATTATTTGACTGATAGAAATTGATATTCTATTCGTAAAAACCATAGAGACGATATCTTCCCGGGTGTTTGTTCAGCGTGTGTCACGACATATTGTGTGGAAAATAATATCGTGACCGAATATCGAAGATTCATGCTTGCAGATATGTATATCGATAGATCGAGTTTTACAACTAGCGTGCAGTTTGAATGTACGTGACGAGAACTTATTAAATAGTGAATGAGACACGTATCAATTCGATTAATGTTAGATTTCAGACCAAATAAATGGGAATGGTATTTATTTTTTTTTTTATTGTCCATGATTTTAACTGATATGGCGATCATGTTGCGCTCGAATAAAGGGTGAGAATGATTCACGGGAAAAATTATCGGGATATGACTTTTACATGCATGTTTATATACTATTGAACAGTCTCAAAAATTTAATATTCGATGTCATGCCATTATTTGGTTATTTCTCTTTGTGATAAAGCAAATAAATAAAAATATAAAAGTTGATTGTCAAAAAAGATTCGTGTCATTGCAAAAAAAATAAAAATTATAAAATTTATCACTAAAAATAAATAATAAATTTTGAATTAAATAATAATGATAAAATTTGAAATTAAAAAAAATCCATAGAGAGAAAATATGAAATTATAAGAAAAAATAAAAGAATAAATAATGTAAATTTACATTAATGGTAAGAAAGAATACATATAAATTTATCCTATGAATATGAACTTTCTGGAAAAAGAAATTCAATTCTGAAATTTAAATATTAATTATAAAATTTCATAT